GCTAACAATAACGCTAATAATAATGTATATAAAAATCTACAAATATGTCTTGATTTTCTCAATAAATGATCTGTTGCCTGGTCCCTGCCTTTTGTCGTTACAATGGTGTCAGGGTTACACATTAGGATCAATAACTTAGTGAATGAGTTGTAATCGGAATTCACATGGAAATGAAGAAATATGTGATATTACTTAAGAGTTAGTAAGGATTTATTAAAGCAAAAATAATTAACTTATTTGGAAATAACAGAGTCATTACTATGATAGAAGAAGTGTTTCAATAAATCTGTTTTGTGCATTTATTCCCCTTAATGAATTTGAACAAAACAAGAACTAAAGTTTTAGCAGAATAAAATGGTACCAGCTTTTATTTCGTTGCCTTCTCGTCAGCTGCTTACATGGCAAAGACATTATTAAATATATCTACAGAAACAATTTTAACATACTTGCACAGAGTTCATTTTAAACAAAAATCAATCGATCAGTATACGCATACACTAAAAATATACACACATATAAATATGCAATATTAACTTTTAGCATTTCACATTCGGATGAAAGAGAGGTGAAATTATCCAGTTACCAGGTTGGCAAAGAAAGACTGATAACCGCTTCTTTCTGGACGCATAAATCAGGTTTCAGGTGCTTGTTGGAAATGGCTTCAGCGAACTTAAAGAGAATTGAGCTATTTTGCTTATTGATAATTTTGAACGACTTTTCGACGTCCACCTCATGACCCGTGTCGAGAAGATGCCTGGTGATGGCACTATTTAAAGCATTTGTTCCCTTTAGACGTAAGCTTTTTGGTACATGTTCAGAAAATCGTAGATACGCCCTTCTTTCTGTCCTTTCAACGTAACTGCTCCCACAGATACATGTAAATTTGTATACACAGTTGGAGGTAACATGAGAAGGATATCTATCGATTTTTGACTGCACCAAAGAGCAAGTTGTTCGATAGACTGGAACGAGCTTAGCTGCAGGATAGGCTATGGCTAGTGATGTACTCAGCCTTCTGTTTTACATGCAGAGTTCCGGTTTCTCTATCATGGACGACTATACCTTCAGTATTGCAAGGGAGGCAAAATTGTATTATTTTGACTTTGTAAATCACTTTGAAGATGCAGCTTTAATCATTTCTATAAAGAAACTGAATCTGTCAACTGTTCAGCTAGGGAAAGATCCATAAACCTATTGCTGATTTCAAAAGGCTCTGCTTAACATGCAGAACATTATGCACAGTAACCAACCCGGAACATCAGAAAACGGTAGGATAACACGATTGTTTATTCTACCATCGATAACGAAACAGAATTACAAGTGCCTATTTGCAAAATTTCTCCAGTATTTGGTATTTCTCCAGTCCTCTATCAATCAGTATGCGATTACCCAAAGGTAGCCTTCTTATATCACTCAAAATAGAGACTGATTCGAATAAACAAACGATTTAATGTTCACCAACATTGACAGAATCTGTGTATACAGACGAAAAAAATTATTGAATCACTTCTACTGTCATGGTAACAGATCTGTTGTTTTCTACCAACCTACTTTTCTTTTAACTCTTTTATTTCTTTCATCTGTCGTCATGTAATTCTAACATCTTTGTTCGAATTCTACTTCTACGAGAATTTACCTCTTTCGTTAGTGTCTTGGTGCATTGAAGGATTTAATTTGATTGTACAGCCTACAGAAAATGAATTCGCCCCAAAACAGCCTCTTCTCCGATTTAACTGTTTTCTAGTACCTAAATGGTGATTATTTATCAATACTGAGTGTTTCAGTTGACTAAAAATATGACTGCCCAAGAAGAAATACTGGTTCAGTCTGTATATATTAAGCAACAAAGTTTCAAAGACTCATGGCTGATTTTAGAAAAAAAAGTAATAAAATTCGTTAAGTGAAACTAGGAAAATTTGTGTTTAGTTATCCATCAGTCATTAAACAAAAAAACCGTAAATGAAAGAAAGAAAGAAACCATTTCATGGAGGATTTAATCATGAGCTGACATCAGTTAGAGAACTACTGGAAAACCTGGGAGTACTGGACAACTGTTTCGTCCTAGTTTGGAACTCTTCATCAGTACGCACCCACCACAGGGGGTTTGAACCCAGGATCTTCTGGTTACAAGGTGAGCTCGTAGACCATTGAGCCACTGAGACCCGATCCAATGGACGAAACAGCTGTCCAGTACTCCCAGGGTGTTTCAATGGTTCTCTAACTGACGTCAGCTCATGATTAAATCCTCCATGCAATCAAACAAAATCCCTACAAAACCAATACTTGAAAAAGAAACCATTTGTCATTTTTACAAAGACAAATAAGGTTCAACCATTTTCATGCTATTCATGAAAAGAAGCAATACTGAGCATCTGAATTTTATAAAATAAAAAAATATTCGAGCAAAGAATATTCTTCCCGATAATTTCCTCCTATACTATTTATTATATACACATATGTTTATATACATAGAATATTCTAGAATAGTAGTCAATAACAATATTGGCGTTTTTTTAAATAATATCGATTTGTTAAGTAAAATCACAGTGGAATTACAGTTCAGTAAAGATGCTTAAATAATAATAATAAAGACATAATAGCAAATAGAATATCAAATAAAATTAGGGAAATTTCTACAAAAAATTAAGGATCATTCGAACCTAGATGGCCAAGGTAAGGACAGTGTCTGAACTAACTTCTTTTGGATGCACATATTAGGCTTCTTAATGTAGATCCCAACAACCTCAGCAATATTTAGTAATCGAACTCTTAAGGAGAGGTTAAGATTTGTTGGTATGCGGTAAATAACTTTGAAAGCTGCCTCGTTAACATCAATCTTGTGTTTTGTTTCCACAAGTTGAGATAGAATAGCGCTATGTGAATAGATTTTGTTCGTCCTTTACTTAACCAACAACTGTCCCCGGGTGATATTCGCAAATCCAACGAGAAACACGCCTAATTGTACGACCTATGTACCTGGCTGCACAGGTACAATTAGGAGTGTTTCTCGTCGGATTTGCGAAAATCACTCTGCATAGTGGTTAAGCAAAGGACAAACAAAATCCATTCCATAGCTCTATTCTGTCTCATCTTGTGGAGACAGAACACAAGATTGACGTTAACGAAGCTTTCAAAGTTATTTACCGCATACCTATGAATCTCAATTTCGCTTTAAGAGTTCGACTACTTAAGATTGCTGAGGCTCGCTGTCAGGATCCATATAAACAAATTTAATTTATGCATTCAAAAGAAGTTAGTTCAGACACTGTTCTTACCTCTTGGCCAACTAGGTTCGAATGATCCTTTTTTTTATTATAGCTTGATTCCACACTGTATTTTTGATACAAGTATGGAATTTTCAGCATGGATATCGGTAGCCCAAATTTTGCAGGCCGACCATAGATATCAGGTGTGCGCCGGCGTGGGCTCGAACCCCGGACCATGTGCATGGTCGGCGAGAGTCCTAACCACTGTGCCACCGACGCAGTGGTGTAGAAATTACCCTAATATTATTTGATATTCTATTTGCTATTGTATCTTTATTATTATTATTATTATTATCATAATTTAAGCATCTTTACTGAACTGTAATTCCATTGTGATTTTACTCAACAAATCGATATTATTTAAAAAAACGCCAATATTGTTATTGACTACTAATCTAGAATATTCTATGTATATAAACATATGTGTATATAATAAATAGTATAGGAGGAAATTATCGGAAGAATATTCTTTGCTCGAATATTTTGTTTTTTTTTTGTAGATGTCTGAATGAATATTTTTGCTATATTGACACATCTGAATTTTGTTTCATAAAAGACAATGAAGTGGATTATATTTCAGATTTGTAGGGGTTATTGGTTCTAAACTAGGAAGGAACAGATTTCCACTCTTCTGTTGGCATTTTCAATGACTCACTGTCTGATTCCACTCCGTAACTAAAGCATAAATATTTACGAAGTAGTACTCACTGTGAACATAGAGAAGATAGAAGTGATCAAGATAACCAGTGAACAGTGACAACAACAACAACAACAACTAGCACCAATCTTATCAACAGGAGAGATTCGACAGAGACATTTTCCTTCACTTATCTAGCTAGGAAGCAGGGTTTCAACCACAGACTAGCGGAATGGATGAAAATGTCAAAACCAGTTAGCCAGAATCGGAATGGTAAGATACGTATTCATCAACCTGAAACAAGTTTGATAGTCTTCTGCTTTACTCACTCAGCAGTCAGCATAAACCACAAGATTCAGCTTCTATTCAATACAAATGTGAAGTCAGTCAATCAGTCAGTCAGTTCTTGCATACGAGTTAGAAAATTGCACTAAGTGTCATGAAAAGGATTTTGAACAAGTTGCAGACTTTTATCAACAGTTGTCAACAGTTTGCTGGCTCCATGCTAAAAATCAAATAGTTGGCAGGCTAGAAAGAATTAGCAACAAGAAACACACCAACTAAGAGCCAATGGAGATAGATGGATCGGGAGTACTCTGAGAAGACCGCCGAATGACATTTGACGCTAGGCCATCGCTTGAGGGAATCCAAATAGGAAGCGATAAGTGGGTCGCCAATGCGAGGTTGTCATGGAGGAGATCGTGTGGGTTGGAAGAAATGAGAGAGTTTTGGCAATCACGGATTCAGTTGAAGAGGACGACAGCAAAGCACGACACATTGGATATGTGTTGTTGAAGCCCTGTGTTCCACTTGGAATGTACGGGAATAAGAATACAACACTAATTTACTGTCACAACCCTAAGAAACGAAATAATGTCGTGTAGACTAAAAATGGAGGAGCAATACGACTAACTAAAAGGCTGTAATAATATCTAAAATATATTTATTACTACTTAAATAAGCTAAGTAGTCTGACTTTATATACTAAAAACATTAAATAAGGATTGTTAGATTTTGCATTACTTCATCGTATCATCTAATCTATCCTTTTTATAAAAAATTATAATGTTTCTTATTTATGCTTACATATTTTACAGTTCAATAGGCGAATTTCAGAAAGAGCACAAATCTATGATCACCTTGGCCAATATTATATGAAGTTGAAAAAGTATTCATCAGCTGTTGACTCTTTCACAAGATCTATTCATTTGAACTCGGAACAACCACATGTAAGTACACTTAACATTTTATCAATAACAGCTTACACTTTCAATTCATCAAATTCACACAGTCGTTTCAGAATTTGATAATGGTAATTTGTAATGGAAGTGCTTAGAATGCAAACTGACTTTCTCGTCGACCTATGTTAACTGACATACTGTTAGGTTGGAAAAGATTTAGGCGTGTGGCAAAACAAAATTTTGACATCAATTCATGAAGTATTCAACTGTTGGTTTCAGCCAATTATGGAGGTGTGGAGGACTAACTGATTGGGATCCTTGGGACGTTAAGAGACTGTCGACGGTTCAGATGAATTTATGTCCCTTATCCTCAAGACTCGTGAAATCCTCATATTTTTCCAAGCTACTTTTCTCTCTCCAGTACATTTTTGATCAATTTAGTGCTTTTTAACCGTTCTTCGCCTTTATTTGAATTTGCGCCCTACGTAGAGTGTGGCAAATTGATCTGCTAAATTTAAGTACAAAATTTTAAGGACTAGCGCTGACATGGTATGATCTGAACTCTAGGAAACCAATCTTTGCGTTCCAATGTATAGCCAATCACAATTTCATTGAGTTACGTGCACTGATCTTAGTAAAAATGATTGCTGTTTAAGATAACATCTACTATACTATTCAACAATCATAACATACTATAACGCATAATTGCCTTGAAAATACCGTTAAACAGTTACACAAATCAAATTAGTTCACAGATATAAAGCAGGTATTGTAGAAACAAATTAGTTAACCAAAAAGCGACCCTAAGAAGTACCTTAAAATCAAGAAGAATATTCCCATCATGTGGGATCAAAGCTTTTTCAACAAGATTCTCATAGACAGTCCAGAAGTCAGGATGACCTTGATTCACTAAAACAAAACCTCAGTCGTTAAACAACACATAATCAAAATCGGCACACAAACATAAAGAGAAGTGTTAAAATTAGAAGTTAAATAGGAACAAAGACAAATAAGTCAATAGATGATATGCAAACATTAGGACAGTGATATGCAACCTAGGAGAACAGGGTTAGTTTAAATATTTAAATAAGTAGGATTATTGTAAATAGGTTGTTTAGGAGGAATTTTCCAAAGAACTATTCCTTAACAAAAGTTCTGTGTTGAAACTCACTCAATCAGTTATCAGTGATCTACTCTTATACTATTTTACATCCTTCCCGTTACAGGAGGAACAATGGACTTGAGGCTTCAAGTTTTGAAGTTTCATTAGTAGAGGTGTTTTTTTTAATGAGGACAGGGTTTGCTAATTTTACGTTCTCCGCCCATAAAACCATCTGTCTTTACCATAATTTTCAAGTGTCGATTTTGTAGGGATTTATTTGATTGCATCAACGATTTCATCATTAGCTGACATCGGTTAGAGAACCATTGGGAAGCCAAATCGGAGTACTGAAAAGCCGTTTCCTCCTAGTTTAGGATTCTTCATCTGTACCCACTCACCAGGGTTCGAACCCAGGACCTTCTGTTTACACAGCTAGCGAGCTCGTAGACCACTGAGCCACTGGGACCTGATCCAATGGTCGGTACATGAATTCCAACTTCTGTCAATTCACGACCTAGCGTGACCATTTCGCAATGTCTTCTTCGATGAGTTACTGCCTCATCTTCAACCTGCTATACACTACTGGTGACGGCTTCCCACTAGAACCCCAGGTTTACCATAATTACTCCTGGCTGTGGTTAGGAGTGTGTTCTCCAGGAATCAAACCAAGAGCACCTCTGCGGCTGGGAAGCATTCTACAGTTGAATCTCTGGTTTGAATTGTTGATATTAGATGGTTGGAAGCGGTCGTTAGAAGGCCTTACCTGACCTAGGTTTTGTGCTAGTTGACACTCACCGGTCAGCAAGGCCCATTTGCAACCTTCGAACCTCCATCACCCAGTGGCGCCTGCAGTCAAGGATGGTACCACTGAGCCATTCAGACTAGCTACTGATCTCCTGTAGACTGTATTGCATAATTCTGATCGAATACTAGTCTGCGAATAGTGGAGGGTGTCAAGTCCTTTGTTTGGTGCAGACTGAATTCTATCAGTCACGTGCCAGTAAGACAAAACCTAAGTCAGGCAAGGCTTCCTGACGATTTCCCAAACAATCTATATTCAAGAGCTATGAGTGCACCATGTTGGCGAGTCACATAGAATGGTGGTCACATTGCAAACTTGACTTATAGAACTCAGTCTGCACCAAAGAGGGGACTAGACACATTACACTAGTTACTGACTAGAGTACAGTCAAAGAATGTTTGACTTGTTCTACATAGCCGAGAAATATTGATGATATTTCCTGAACTTTTACGACAATTTGCGTGTTTTTACCGCTTTGCACTGAGAGAATACGATGTGTCATTTCACTCGACGTTTCGATGAGAACAGCGTAAGTAAAAAAAAAATAGGCTTTTTAGTTTTTAATGCCCAACTACAAAAGGCCTGAAAAATGGAGAGTATTTTAGCTCAAACTTTTCTCTCTGTGCCAGTTTATACAACATTTGTATTTCGATGCAAATTACTTGCTTTTTCTCTCTTTCTAAAGGTTTACTTGTATCGTGCTCAATCGAATCTTCATCTCATAATCTTACAAAGAAAAGGAAAGTCGAACTATTTGAAGGATTTATCAAACGGCATTAATGATAATGTGTTAAACGATATTAGTCAAGCGTTGGTTCTACTCACTTCAAAAAGCAAATCAATCAGTGAAATATACTTTTATGCACCATTTGAAGTTGTGAATTTATTTGACCTGTGTTTACTGACACGAGTGGCATATTTTGGTCTGTATCAAAGGTATACAAAAGCTATACTCAATTGTAATGAAGCTATTTCAAGAAGGCCCGAATGGACAAGAATGTGGATTAATCGGTAATCGCATTAGAAAATTAAATAACTTTAAATTCCTGATAGGTAGAATAAACCTTTTATCTCATCAGTTATAACTATTTTGGCAATTTCTATTGAACTACTTTTAAGTAGTATGTTCTTCTAAATAAAAAATGTAAATCATTATTCCCCAGGGTAACATCCTCCATCACCAACACATCTCCATTTCACTCTCTTCTCTTCAGTCTCTTCATAAATAGCTCCAGGAGTGCCCAAAAGCATTCTATTCTTCACCGTTACACCATCTCCTTTATTTCGAAGTCGGATACATGCCCAGCTTGTCGTTTCTTATTCAATTTTAAGTCGAAGGCGTGGTGTATGACATAACTCAATCGTCTCATTGGCATATGCCCAATGAGTCAAAACCTACTACTGAATATCTACTGAGCGGTAAAGTGGTGATTGTCTCTTCCTTGAAGGTAGGACTTCAAGTGATCATAGACAGGAAAGACAACAAAAAGCATCAATCATTATCAGTAGGAGGAATGAAGGAAGTCACTTTTTCCACTTATCTAGGCAACATCAATTCGTCTTCAGGCGATAGGGACAAGGGTATCAAATTAAGGGTAGGAAAAACAAGAAAAACCTCAATTAATCATAAATTAGTATGGAAGTCTACTGCATTAAGGATAAAGAACTAGATTAGGATTGCCAACAGTAATATCAGTCAATTCCCTGTTTCTATATCGTTTAGAAACTGAGCGTGTCATGAAAAGCAGTTTCAGGTAACTTCGAACTTCCACCAGCAGCTCCCTTTGCTTCTTACTGAAGATGATATGGCCATTAAAGATTTGGGACAAAATCAAAGTATTTCAGTAAAGGAGCAAACAACCATCTATAGTCCAAGCATAAGACACACACCGAGGACACTATTTAGTGATATCATGCGTAAAGCCTACGAGTGGAACTCAATTAAGAAATGTCAAGTTCAGCGTCCCATAGTGACATCGAGGAGACTGTGTGAGTAGTAGATGAAGTATTATAGGCAATCATGAAGCCAGGTAAAGCTGACTTCAAAGAACAGGAAACAACTGAAATCTGATGTTGAGGTCCGATGTTCCACTCGGAACCTAAGAGAATAATAATAATCTTTTCTGACCATCTGATATTTAGTATGGACTGAAGGCAGATGTGCATAAAAATCTGTAATAGCCTGTTGTAAATGCGTTTAATGACCCCCAAGTCAAGCCTCTGAACCATATAGAAGATCTGACTTGATATGAGTGTTATGTTTTAAAGTTCCTGTAACGACTGGATGGATTCTACGGAATACGTTCGCTAGGCACACACCCAAAACATCCCCTTTTTTTGGTGGTCTAGCAAGGGTTAATAAACTAGACAAGATTAAAAATGTAAATAGAAATAATACCAATTCAGTGGCTTCCTAAGAATAATGAGCCTCTGTGGCACAGTGGTTAGGACGCTTGCCGACCACACACGGTCCGGGGTTCAATCCCCGACTAACGTACAGCCAGTGTCAGCAGTTAGCCTGCTAAATGTCAGCTATCAACATCCTATGCTGAAAATTCAATGGATGTACCGAAATAGTATGTGAAATCAAGCTATAATAAAAAGAAATTAAAAATTAAAAAAAGTTATTGCCTAGTGACGAATGAAATAACTAAGTGAAAATACACAACGATCTTAATGACTGTTTGGCCGCCTAAAAAGCGGTTATTTTATTTTATTTATTTTTTTTTGAGCACAATATCATTATTCAGGAATGAGAATAAGTATCTTGGGATAAAAAGGATGTAGTAAAGTTGAACAGCATATAGGACAACAACACATAACGCGTCAAAAATGTATTCCCAACATGGCTACCAGCATATTAATTACAAAGACGCAATGTTTTTGGCAGGTTATTGCACTGTCTTTATTTACGGAATGTCAGCATCTTTTGTCCACTCCAGTAACTGCATACTAGTGTTAAAGGTGTACAAAGAAATTTACCACTTTTTCCTAATTTTTATTGGATATACAGCATTTGGTTTTAAACATGGATGGAAAATTAAACTTGTGTGAAATTAACCACATAAATGGAGTAGCTATTATTACTTGAATACTTAAACTAATTACTGAAATCTCCTGTTCACTAAGTGTGGTAATTTTCTTATGGGTGAACATGGAAAATAGTCAAAAATGTAGGGATCGTGTCACAAAACCATACAACCAGGAAACAAGAATGCACAGAACTTGTCTTTAACACACTAGTTTGTATTGTTTGTTGTGCTGATAAGATCCACCTGTGAAACAGAGAGGGAGTATATTGTCCTGAAACCTATCCTTTAGGTATCTGAGGTAAAAATAAAAAGTTGGAAGTATCCTGAGGTTGGCCCGACTAAAGTATCCCATAAGATAATAATGTCTCTAATTCATTCTTAGTTATCTAAGAAGGAATAGATTACCTATGTGATATAAATCTGTTAATTATTACTAAAGTTACAAGTTTTATCACTGTACTTACTGCATTGACAAACGCTTTTTTAACTTATATTCTGTATATTTCTGATTTGTTTTTATCTTTCATTTTTTGTTTATCTCTCCACATAGCGGTGTATTTAAATATTTATTGAAAACATACGATTTTTCAGAGTCTGATTTGAATATGGCAGTAAAAACAGACAACTGTTGCCCATTAGCTTATTATAATCGTGGATTATGTCATCAAACTCAAAACAACTGGAATGAAGCTATAGAAGTATGTTTTGGAGAATGAAACAATTCTGTTGCATTATTGATTAACTGAACTAAATTGGTCATTTGCAAATTATACAGTTGAAGATGAAATGTAATCCCAGTTGCCATTAGAAACCAAAAGCATTCAGATCACAGTGTGTGTCTGTGTGTATGTGTGTGCATGTGATCTGCTTAATACCTTAGGCAGCAATCGAAAAAACATGAAGGTGAATTCTAATAATTAATATGAATGGTGTGAAACCACTCACTCTAAACAGTAGTGCTTCCTTCCCATTCAGACTGAATTTATCCACATATTATCCATTCCCTGATGTAGCTAGCTGAAATACGAGCAGTTTGAAATGTCTCAGTTCTAAGGGATGAGTGAAACAGAGTTCTATAGATAATACTGACATAGAATGAAGGGGTATCAAAGGCCCAGTATTCCTTTAACAATCCGAGTGGAACATGTTATGTACTCGTCGCTAAATTATTTTTATGGACTGGTCGAGAATTTAATAGTCCTGACGCGAGAAGGCGGAAATCAGAAGACCACTAGGTTTGCGATGATACTTCTATTGTCCAAACACAAGGAGACGAAAATAAATGGTCTCACACCAAAGTGGTAAGTAAGTCAAGTAGTTGTAAAGTAAAGTAGTTCACACAAATTGTGAATGCGAATATATATAAATAATTCAGACAAGCGTGGGAAAAATCATTAGACAGTCTTAACATGAATGGCTAATTATAATGGAGTGTCGATCCAATTATACATAGCGAATATAGCAGACATGCCAACAAACATATATGGATATATGTCACCAAGCAACGGACTGTCAACAAACACTCATATTATATATAATATAATATAAGGAGAATACACATTATTAAAGGAGACAAGTTCATACAAGTGAAGTGGTCACAGACTAACCGAGCAAACAGAAAGAGAGACCAACATGCACACACACACATAAATATATATATGTGGATACATATCACCTCCCCTTTTGAGAAGATGGATGATTAGTAGGATGTTTACCTGGGGGTTTATCTGGGACCTTTGGGCTTGTTGTTGACGCCTGTCGTTTCGTCTGATTGTTGGGTTTGCGGCTTCGGCTCCGTCCGGAATTGTCTAGCATTTTATGCTTCTTCACTGTATTGCGTAGAGAATTTAGTGGGACATCAGCCAGATGCAAACGATCGAACCAATCAAGTCCCAAAACATTTAAATCATTCTTCGTGACGTAACAAATTCCTGTGAATTTGGTATTGCGGAAGGAAACAGAACATTTGAGTTCACCAATTAGTTTGAGCCGCCCACCACAGGCGCTGAGAAGAGACTGGGAAGTATTGGTGATAGGTGGTCTGCCAATATAATTCCAAAGTTTCTCTGATATAACAGTAATATCAGAGGCAGTATCTAGCTGCAGACGAGTATCATGACCATTCATCTGAAGGTCAATATATTTCCGCATAGCTGGTGTTGTGACTTGACAGGTTGCACGTAGACTCAGTGATCTTTTTGGAGATTTAGGACCGACATTTTGTTGAGCTTTTGCTGGATTATGATATCTGGGTTTGCGTGGCTGACAAAAACCATTTTTATGACCGATGATTTTGCACTTGCTGCAACGATGATTTTTGTATGGGCAAGACTTTACAAAGTGCCACGCGCCACAATGCCAGCATGGTGATGGAGGGGTCTTCTTTGCAGTATTTTGTGAAGTTGGACGAGTATGTGTAGATTTCCGCGGAACATTAGGAGAAGTAGGTGGGTCAGGAGTAGCTGATGAGAGATTTTTGCTCTTGCGTAATGCACGAATATCAGAGCTTCTCGGAGGTGTTGATTCGACCAAGTGTGTGTCTTTCTGCAGATTAATCAGCCGTTGATATTCATCAGCTATGTCATGTAATGTTAACTTGGGATTTTGTTCTAGCTGATTGAGCAGTCGAGTTCGGATATCTGTGAAACGAGGAGATTGGAGACTGCATATGAGAATCAAGGCTTTGAACTGATCATCTGTTAAGGACCTGAGTCGAAATCTCTCACATTCTCGGTTGACTGTGCCAACGTGAGTAAGAAAATCATCATTTTCATTCATTGCCAGCTTGAGGCAACGATAACGTATACTGAATAATGAGGAGTGGTCTCCGAAATGTTCACGCAGCAACTTTATTGTATCATCGAAACAATTGTCACGTGGTTTCTGTGGTAAAATTAGGTTGCAGTACCGTTCATATTCTGCCGGACCCAATTTACGTAGCAAAACTCGCACCTTCCAGGCATCGTCTTGTGAGGCGAGATCAACAGTGAATAAATCCTCATAACGTTGATACCATGTGTCAAAAGTGACATTAGCCTCTGGGTCATAATTGAACTGTGAAATACTGTTCACAATTCCGTCGACAGATGGTAGCATGGTATGATTGGGATTGCTTGAAGGTGAAGCTGGACCAGTCTGTTGGTTGACGAACATTTCCATTAATTTCAATTGTTGTTCAAACAATAATTCCAATTTAGAATAATCCATAGTAAATTGTTATGTTGTTGCTGCTGAGTGGTTAATAGTAGTTTTTCCCCGTCGCCAAATTGTTATGTACTCGTCGCTAAATTATTGTTATGGACTGGTCGAGAAACTAATAGTCCTGACGCGAGAAGGCGGAAATCAGAAGACCACTAGGTTTGCGATGATACTTCTATTGTCCAAACACAAGGAGACGAAAATAAATGGTCTCACACCAAAGTGGTAAGTAAGTCAAGTAGTTGTAAAGTAAAGTAGTTCACACAAATTGTGAATGCGAATATATATAAATAATTCAGACAAGCGTGGGAAAAATCATTAGACAGTCTTAACATGAATGGCTAATTATAATGGAGTGTCGATCCAATTATACATAGCGAATATAGCAGACATGCCAACAAACATATATGGATATATGTCACCAAGCAACGGACTGTCAACAAACACTCATATTATATATAATATAATATAAGGAGAATACACATTATTAAAGGAGACAAGTTCATACAAGTGAAGTGGTCACAGACTAACCGAGCAAACAGAAAGAGAGACCAACATGCACACACACACATAAATATATATATGTGGATACATATCAGAACATGGGGGACTTCATACTAGGGCTTTGAAGTTCCAGTAGCAATAGTTTTATTTTTACGTGGTAGGAGTGCTAGCCTCACACCCAACCTTCTCTATTCACTGGCCTCACTGCTGGTTTAGAGAGAGAGTTAGGAGTGCACCGGCCGTGGATTGAATTCCGAAGCACGCGTGTGGTTGACGAGCGTCCTTCTCTTGAACCACCGATGCAATTCCCTCTATGGAATTCTCATTCACTCGTGAACAGAATTTATCCACTTGAAGATCTGATAGATCCAATTAAGAAAATTAATAATATTTATCGCAGGGTATATAATGACTGTGACTTGAATCAAGCAGATCGGGATCACTAAGTTATCGGAACATGGAAATTTAACTGGAGATAGAATGACTGCCCCTGCTATGTTTGTGATGAGAGCTGTATGCAAGGCGAAATTGCAGACAATTTACGTCAATGTTCATAATGATAAAGCTTAACCTTGAGAAAATCACCAACCAGTCACAGTGGAGTTGACGTGTGGAAATATGATTCACAGATATGTAGCTTAACTTTCTGAGAAACAGTCATAAAGAGAATAACGGAATAACCCTCACAAGAAAACAACCAATCAGGAGAGGTCGCTTCTCCGCTAACAATGACGACAATAATAATGCACACAAGAGGACGATCTGTAACCTGGCCTTTGTCTTCTGTTGTTACATGTTAAGCAGTCTGGAAAAAAGCACTCACTTGCATGTAGTCACACCATAGATCAGGATGGCTTAAAAGTAGCAAGAAGTAATCTAACAAGATAGAGATTGTGACAGAGTCTTTGTTCATTGACATGTGCACCTCGAATGATTCAAAACCTATCGCTAACTTAAAGGAAACTGAAATAAAAATTAACAGTTATTCAGGCTATATGAAGTACGTTAGTAAGTCGTGTGAATATATTGATATCATTATGAGCAATGTGAGTAGGTAGTTTAGCGGTAGAATGATAGCCAGTCATATATGTGGTCCGAGGTTCAATTCTGAGCAAATGCACTCTTACGCCTAACTAAGCTGGTAGTAGAGGGAAGGTTGGACGACCTCACTCCGTAAAATTGCAACCACTTATGCTGAAACTTCAAAGCTTGAAGCCCTATGTTCCACTTGGAACGCAAAGTAATGTAATAAAACGAATAATCATAATTTTATCATATAAACTGTGTTTGAAACGTCATCCAGTCGTGAAATCTGTATCACTGCATTGAAACAGTAGCTTAACGATGAAGTCACTGACTTCCACAGATATCGATGTAGATTTGTATCTGTGGGAGAATATGGATATCTGTTGACCAGATTATTATTTATTATATTATTTCCTTTAATTCTTAGAGGAACATAGGGCTTCAGCCGCGCATCTCCATTCAGTTCGGTTCTCGAACAACGTTTTCACCTTGCTCTGCGTCTGCCCACATTCTTTCATCTCCTCTTCACATGACCTCCTCCAAGTCACCCTTGGACGACCGACTAGTCGCTTCCCTTTCGGATTCCACTAGGGGGCTTGTCTAGTGACGTCAATCAATGGTTTCCTTAGAGTATGGCCAATCCACCTCCATTTCTTCCTGCTTATTTGTTGCACAATTAGTTCCTGGTTGGTTTGCTCACTGCCAGAGATCCCTCCCTGTTGCTGATCTTAACTGGCCGGCCATCTGATCTTCAGTAGTATTGAGCGAAAACAGTTAGCTGTTAATGAAGGTCTGTAGTTTGTTTGGTGTGCGATTATGAGGCTCTGGCGAAGTCTCCGATACACATTGTTAAGTAGCACTGACTTCACATTGGAGTTGAAAATCCGGATCTTATTTTTCACGCTGAGTAGTGCTGTTCATCTGCACACAGACTTGAGAGTAATGAAACCAAGCCTTGCTTTCCTTATCC